GTCCCTGCCCTGCGCCCCCCGGCCGGGGCGCTGTGAGGAGTGTCCCCAGGCACGTCTTGTGTGCGGTGGCACGCTGCTGCGCGCGGGCTGGCCCGTGCTCGGGGGGACGCCCAAGTCGAGGTGCCGCTGGCTCAGGGATCTCTGGGGTGAGTGGCCCAAACGTGTCCAAAGGTGCATTTTACAAACTCCCGCTTTGCCCTAGCAGCCGTGCCCTGTGCCTGCCCTCTAAACCTGCAGCCGCGGGGGTTCCTTCTTGGCTGCGTTACCGTAACGCCGCGGTCACCGCTACGGCAGGGCAGGGAGCAGTGTCAAGCTCCCTTATCACAGCGTTTGTGAGCGGTGCAGGTGGCACGTGTTGGACGTACTTGCTAGGAATAAGCGACAGGCAAACGCAAATTTTAAATCTCTAGAAATAAGGGAAGTTTGATGATATGATGAGAGAAATTAAAAGGACGGCCTAAAGTGTAGTCACCTTGATTTACACACACACACACGCATAGAGTTGCTAAAGGGCGTTGTAGCTTCGAGCTGCTATGTTAGGATCAAAGCAACACTGTTAAAAGTTTAATCAGTTTTTACACCCTGTAGTAATTCAGTTACGTTTTTATTTCAGATATTGATGAATGCCTTCAAGACAGAGGTATTTGCCTCGGAGGAAGCTGCATGAATACTGACGGGTCTTACAAATGCACTTGTCCAGAAGGTTTCCAGCAGATAGCGAATAGGGGATGTCAAGGTATGAAATAGCCATTAAAAATTCCTGCATCATTATGATAAATGTGCAAGGTTGTAAGCATGCCTTGAGATAGTCAAAGATTGTGCTAAGGAAGAGAAACTCAATTTATTTATAATTTGTAATACTTTCTTACTATTCTCATTTTATATTGATCTGCTGAGGAATTATTTCAAGGGGCTGAAATCCTGGCCTTTGTAACTTGAAAGAGAATCTGTGTTAGAACTAACAGAGATAGTGCTGCATTTCCCCAAATCCTGGAAACATCTATTTTGACAGAACCTTCTCTGTTCGTGAGTCAGTGATAGAACAGAAAGAGCAGTATAGTCAGCATCGAGTCACATTGGATAAACCTCTCTCACCTCTAAAACACTTGCAGCGCTTCGTGCAGGATGGGTGGGGAGGAAGAGATTGTGTTTTCTGAGTCCGAGTCAGCATTGCCAAACCCAGAAAAGGACTTCCCAGCTTTTAGTTCCGAACAATCCCAGCTCCCTGCTGGCACAGCTCCCAGGCAGGTCTCACGACTCCCTTTTGCCATTTATGAAACAAGAACCACGGTGATAGAGCTGGAAAGTGGCAGCGGGTTCATGCTCTCCATGACTGGAGGACCAGGAGACCGGGCTTTGCTGTGGCTGCTCCCTTAAGTGCAGGTGAGACTTGAGCTGAGAGACCGTATGCCAGCTGGTCTGCATGGAAGATCTTGTGCAACCAACAGTAAATTCCCTGGAAGAGCTCTGAACGTTCTGTGTGACTGCTTCCTAATTCAGAAAATGCTGCCTTCAACCTGCAGAAGAGCTGTGTGAGACCTTGCCTTAGCAGATAAGAGAATCGACTGCAAGCTCTAAATCGATGCCAGCTTTGATACCAGTCTGTGCTCTTCCCTCCACTGTGCAAAGTACTAGTATATAGGCTTTCTGTTTTAAAGGGATAAATGTAACGGAACTGAAAGCACTGTGAGCCAATGAAGGGACAGACAGCATAGACAGTGTTTTTCACAGAAAAACGTGAATGAAAATTGGGAGTCGTTTCAGATGAGAGCACTACACTTGAGAAAGACGACCACCAACACTGAAAAATAAGAACTTGCTGTAGAGGGGAGTCAAACTGCTTGAGAAAGATCAGTTGAGCCAGATCAGCATCACAACCAATGGAAGAAAGGAGGAATTGATACGATGAATACCGACAAGTTAGAATAGCAAAGAACTGGACTCAGTGAAAGAACATAAAGGGAGATCGTTGTCTCGCAGAATTAAGTATGGTTAGACTTTTTTTACTGTGTGGACTACTTGTTGTTAAGCTGTTACAGGATGCAATAGTAGAATTTTTATTTGCCAAAAGTGGAAATCTTCAGTATATTTTCTTGTCCTGTATTTTGTACTGGACAAAACTAGCCATATTTGTATCATAAATGATGACTTCTTTGCATTTCAGCAGTAACTTCAAAATCTTTTAAGCAGCAGCAGCTAAACTGAGACATTTTTAAATGTCTGAAAGTTAGTTTTATTAGAGTTCTGTAACAGCAAGAAAAAACACGGCGTTTTTGAGAGAATTTACCTGGAGAGGTTAGGGACATGGTGAGAGATCCCGATAATAGGCCCGCAGGGCAGAGCGATCTTGCCCACTTGCTGTACTGGTTAAGAGCAAACAATAAGCGTTTCGATACATCCTGTCCTACGTTGATGAAGGAATCTCAGCCATGCTTGTAGGATAGTGGAGTTCCCTCTGGGACACAGTCACTGAGAAGGATTTAGGGGTCCGAGACATCAGCAGAATATGAGCTTCCAGTGCAGCCCTGTGGCCGGTAGGACTAACGCACTCCCCAGAAGACTGAAAAATCAGAATATCCAGCAGGAGTAAGCAAGGCTTGTTTACCTCTGTTCCGCACTGCTCTTGGCACGTTACTGACATTCTGGTGCCCGCAGTTCAACATGGATGCTGATCAGCTGAGGAGAGTCGGAGAGGAACCCAAAAAAGCTGATGGCCTGAGGGAAAAAGGATTGAATGCTTTTAAACCGATTGTTCAAGGAAAAAATGGGAGGTGACTTGATCATAGCCTTATGACACTCAGAGGACACCTCGACTGAAAGTAGAGAGCTGTTGGATTGGACTGGCAGGTTTATCGCAGAAGGGGTGTCTGCACGTTGAATCTGGGTGGGACTGGAAATGAGGAACCTGCGTTTTGGTCAGGAGCAAAGTTGGAGAGAGCCCAAAGTGCGAGGAAGTGCGCAGTTGGCTCTTTCAGACGAGTTACACTCTTTGCCATTGTTACTTTTGCTTTCCTGTCTCTTAATACATCGTTCTGCCTTGTGTAATCAGCTGCTCTGGCTTCCAGGACTTTTCTGGCAGTTTTGAGAAAGTGGCAGCTTAGTCTTGAGAACAGTGTGGGTCCTGGGTCGGTACGGGACTGTCCTTGTCATTGCTGATCTCCCACCGTACCTGACTTTCAGAGAGCTTCAGGAAGTACGTCATTGGTCTGCGTTTGCTGTGAATTCAGAGAGAATTTTATACGTGTAGCGTGGTGTGAAGCACAGCACCCTGACATTTCCCTGTGCACCTCGTACAGCTAACACCCTTCCCCGAGCTGCCTCGGTTCTTTCCTCGTATGTACCGTGACTTCAGGTCACCAGCCTAGGTTTGCACACCGGGCAGGATCAGTCTGTGTCTAAAGAAAATTCTGTAATGGATGTCAGGGGTCCTGAAATGATGGTACTGAGAAAATCAATTCTGTAGTCTGGCAAAATTACTGTCGACTTCAATGCATTCTCTGTGGCTGTAGCAACTGCCAGAATCTAAGCAACAAAAGACACGGTTAAGATAAGAAATTCTAGTGTCTGTGATGATGGGTGAATGAGCCACATGTGTAAGTTTTGGTTGAGAATTGGTGTTTGATCTCAGCACGGAACTGAAAACTTCTTCACAGGTTTTTGTAGAGCAAAATGCAAAAGTGCAATTGCAGTGGGAATGGTGACCCAAGTGAAAGCGGTAGCTTTGCTGATACCTCCTTACTATTCATCGCCTCCTTCATGAATGCACGCAGGCCTTAAGTTCTGATGTGGGTTTTGTTGTTGAGATGAGACGTCAATGAGAAGGAAATGCTTGTTTTTCAGCTTTACAAGTTTGAAAGCAGTGTTTGAAAAGATGCTTTCCACATTAAAAAAAAAACAAGCCACGATGACAGACTCTGACATAGCAGCCTTTGGGGACCATTCCCATTCCCCATCAGCAAACAGAGCATTTGGGTTTAAGTTCCATAAAATCAGCCTGTGGGGAAAGATGCAGCTCCAGACCCGCTGGTAACACGTGGAGCCGGGTGCCCAAGTTGACCAGCCTGCAGCCGTCCAACAGCAGGGCCATGGAGCTGCCTGGGAATTCCGGACAGGAGGAAAAGCTGGCTAGTATGGAGCTCACACGGGTGTCTCGCCAGTTGCTCTCATCTCCTCGTCCTCATCGCAGAGAGGGAAGTGGTGAGCGCGTGATGCAGCTGCCTACACGGGGCTGATGCCTACACAGGGTGTAAGAATGACCCCAGAAGATGTGGTTATTCTGGAAAACGAGCCCTGCTTCCAGAGCTGTTGACGTAGCTGGTGGAAATAAAAGCTGCTTTTGAGACTAATTGACCTTAGGCTTAATATTAAGGCTATGATGATTTGCAAGACCGATAATGTCTCTCTGTTTTCAGATATCAATGAATGCGAGAGATCTGACCTCTGTTCCCCTCACGGGGAGTGTCTAAACACGGACGGTTCCTACCAGTGCATCTGTGAGCGGGGCTTTTCTGTGTCTGCAGACGGCCGGACCTGTGAAGGTGAGACGAGTCACAATAACGCATTCCCACTGATGTGCTGTTACTGGTTGGGTGAGAAAAGTAGTCACTTTGGGTCTGATACCCCAAACCCACTCTTAACTCCACCACCTGCCACTGAAGGATGCCTCGTTCACACCCTGGGTGCCGTGGTGCTGTGTGAATCAGAAGGAGTATAACGGGGAATGGATAAGTGGGTAACGTAATGGAGCTGATGCTTGTTACGCGCTGGGCTTCACTTTTCTTGATGTTTAATTTTGCTGTCTTAACATTGGATTATATTTTTTTTTTTAGCAAAAGGATTAGTGAAAAATAAGGAACACTAACCTAACTATGGCAAATGATGGCAAAGGAGGGAGTGATATTCTTATATTAAGATAAATGAAACCAGTGGACATCTGTAATAATATGAACATCTATTCCTAGATGGGAAATTATTTCTATCTTATAGCAAGGGTGGAAGGAGCAAACATACATAAAATGCGTTTAAAATGAGTTTGGATCTCAGGCTTCTTTTCACTGGGTGAGACCTTCCTGCTGTAAATATTTAGGATTATTTAATTTAAAGCTTCTGAAGTGCATTAGCAGCAAGCCTGAGCTGCCTGAATGTTCTCCTTGCTGTGTGCGAGACAGCAGGGCCTTGCTTGTTGGGACTCTTTTTAAAGCAGATGCAGAGGAAGCATGCAAGCAACACCAGTAACTCCAGTGAGAAACAGCAGTGAAATGCTATCTGTGATAGAACCTCAGGCGTTCTGAAGTGGCAGAAATGGGGTAAATAGCAGTAATTAGATCTGTACAGTGCTAGAGCCAGCTTGTTCTTCGTCAGTGTATGCAGGTATGCTTATACAGCTATTTTTCATAGAAGGTTGTAAAAGCTGCTCCAGTAATAACACTGGTGAGAAAAATCAAGCAGGAGCCTAGAATGTAGGCGTAACTCAGGTTTTCATTCGGTTATAGCATGAGAATATAGCCTGTTGCTAAAGGAATGCACACGCTTGCTGCTCTCCTGCACTGAATTTGAAGCAGGAGACTTGTGCTCAGTGACACCAAGAAGATACGTGGCTTTGTGTAGTCAGCGATGCTGCCAGGAAACAAAACTTCCCCTAACGGGATGAAGAACGGCTGCCCTTAAGGATGAGAGGACGGTTCAAGACAAGAAGCCTTGCGGGAAAAGTTCAGGAGGGGAAAAAATTACATGGTCGTAGTTCGGCAGGATAAGGACTGAGCAGATGATAGCTTGGTGTTAGAACCTGTGGGCAGTGGATGTCAGGCATCTGAGAAGCAGGCAAGCTGCTCTCTGTCCCAAATTATAGGCCAATAGGTCCGTACGTGGTTGGTTTTCATGGGCCAGCTCTTCTCGTAGTCCGTAAGGATAGTGAAGAGGTTCTTCCCTCAGTGGAGGAGGTGTACGGAAACTTCTGACCGTTGCATTTACTCCCCCCGCTTTCACCAGAGGAAAACCAGCATTACAGCGTTATCCTTGCGCTGGCGCGTCACCTGCCGTGTAGCTGGTAATATAATACCTAATTAAATGAAATACGCTGCTGGTAAGAATACTGTTAGTGCTGATGTAAGGAATAAGTGCTATATCTTTAGATATAGCATGACATCAAACACACTATTTGTGTTTTAGTTAGTACTGATAACTAAAAAAAATCCTGCCGTATTTTTCGTGCCTTTTCGTCTCTAAACATTAACTTTATTTTGTAATCACGGCATACATTGAAGGAAACATTCTCTTACTGCCAAGACAAAAGCCTGGTCAAGTAGGCTAGAGAAAGCAAATATGAGTAGCTCCAGTGATTGATGGACATTTTGTCATTTCAAGTCACGGGGATAATTCCAAAGCATGTTCATGGACTTTGGGCAGCATGTATACATTTCACCAAGTGTTTAGGAAGGATATGGTTAAATATCTTCAATTGCTCTGCAAGAAAAGTAGTAGCAGGTGTTTTGCCTCACTGTTGAGCACAGCTTGAAAAAAAATAAAGTGGTCAGAGAAGAATGCAGCCTGCTGTTAGTAGAAACCAAACACTTTATTCCAAACCCAAGTTAGAAGAACACTTATTAATCTTGTGAAATCAAACTCTCAGAAATTAAAAAAGGCAGAACTGAACAGAAACACAACTTAAACAAAAAAAAAAAAAGAGTCTATGACATCTAATTTTAGGGGATGTACCAGAAACAATGAGCCCCTCTGTCTGGCTCTCTGACAGTTAATAAAGTAGCGCCGTTCCCAGGGAAGGGTTACCGTCACATATGATGAAGTAGTACAAAGTTAATCTCCATTAGAACAAAAAAGCCAAACTTTTCCTAAATAGAAAAAGATGAAATCACAAGATCTCATTTCCAGGATTCTGAGTAGCTTTGGAACTTTTAAATGAAGAATAAAACAACAAGTACCAAACCAGTTGAGCGTGCTCCACAAGTCATTGGTGGTGTGTATGGAATACAGATCAGGCTTTATATTCAGCACTTGGAAAAGTATTTAATAACTTGGCGAAGCAAGGGTACTTCTAGTCTTCTGAAGCAGCAGCGCTCCTTTTCTACCATGGTGAGTTTCTCCATTCTGTCATTTTAGTAAAAACACTTCCAGAGTTGAAAAAACTCGTCTGAAGGGAGCACCGATGGCATCAGTGTTCGTATTTGTGGTGGGGTCAGCTTCACACAAAAGGGCGAGATGAAACAGAAACAAGAGGAACGTGTGACATTCCAGGTGCGGAGAAAGGACGTGGCTGCCAGCGCCAGAGCTACTGTTCTTTACACTAGGTGCCTCTGTGAATTTACTTCTAGTTCAGTGAGTGAGAATAACTGGTTATGCCATCAGAGAAAGAACCTGAGGAAATTTTGCTGGATTCAGATGCCTCTCTGTACCTGGGGAGCAGATTTTCCGTATCTCCAGACTGGTTTTGTACGCGTTGACTCGTTTTTTTGAAAAGTCAGAAACAACAACAACATAAAACATTTAAGAACCCCCTGTGGTTCGGTCCTGGTGTGGAGTTTTTATGGCCATTGGCCAAAGTGAACTGCACAGCTGTGGAGACAGAGTCTTTTTCCAAGGTGCAGACAAACTTTTGTTGTAGCGGTGACATTCCACTGCTGCCTGGCCCCAGGCTCAGTGGTTTGGCTGTACCAGGCTCTCTGAACAGGAGGCTCTGGGAGCACTCCCTAGCTCCCTGTCAAGCTCTCTGGGGTTCCTGTAAAGGCAGTGCTTTACCCAGTTGGCTGCTGGTCAGCTGTGTTGGCAAAGACTCAAGGCAGAGGTTCTCCGATGCTTAAGTCAATACCCTGCCCCAAGCGCCTCTTCTGTCTCCATGTCCAATCCCACACGTCTCTCAGTGGCTCCCTCACTTTTCCCTCTCTGCTCCAAGCCCCAAGCTTCACTGCCTGCATCAACAGGCACTCCAAAAAACCTCAGACGTCCCAACAGAGCTCGCCTTCCTTTCGCCCCGCTTACCATTTTGTATCCTGTTCTCCTTTCCTTGTCCACTGAACGAGTCGCCCGTCTGAGCCTTTTGGGTGCTTGCACGGAGCATCCACAGACCATTCTGTGATCAAAGAATAATTCACAAACCTGTACCCAAAGCTGCTGCCTTGTCCATTGTTTAAGATGTCTGGACACCTAAGAAGTCTGAAAATCAGGGAAACAAAGAGCAGAGCTGTGAACAGCGCATAACTGTTACCTCTGCTGCTGAAGGCATTGTAAGAGCGTAGGTGTTCGCTGTAACTGCCCAGCACAGCCATAATTCTGCCCATATATAGGGAAGACACCCAGGGAAAGGGTGTGGTAAATCTAGGACTCCTTTTGGGGCAGAGTATTCTCTGTTGCACGGAGTAAATTTTATGCAACAGACAATGTCACAGCTTGACCACATCTCTGGTTAAATACCGAAGAAAGCAAGCTCAGGCTTCTGCCAAACGGGGCTTCAAGTACACATCTGCAGTGTGCCCCTGTGGGCCTGTTGCACAGCAAGTAACCGCGGACTTCACCCGCCTTCTCGCGTTCCCTGACAGATGTTTTAGGGCATCAGCTACTCCTTACCTGGGTGCTGGCTAGAGAAGTAAGAACACAGAGGGAGAATCAGCCTTCAGCCCGTTCTCGATCCACCTCACTGTCCACTCCTCTAACCCACACTTCCTTCGTGCTTTTCATTTTCTCCTGACAGTGATTTTTACGGATGGGCGTTACAGGCAGCCCTAGAAGCTTGGGAATCAGAGCTCAGTTCCCCTAAGCACTGTACAGAACTGTCCCAGGGAGCAGTTCCTCTTCCAGACACGTTGCCATGCAAGCAGATTTCAGGGAGATTGAACTGTCAGGCCTGAGGTTGCGAACGCCTTCATCTCGGGCAGCTGGCAGAAAGCTGAACAGGAGTCACTTGAGCGCACCCACGTTTTGCCTCTCCTTGGAGCGGCTGATGTTGGCTCCGAGGAGCTCTGATGAACGCAGGCAGCACTGAGTCATGGCTTCTAACCCAGGCGGTAATTACAGAGAACTGCTTTAGTCACTGTGCACACGCAGGGTATATTGGTCTCACATTCCGTTTTTCCCCTTGCCTTCTCTCCACAGAGCAAGAGAATCACCGATTACAAACCTTGTGCTTTACAGGGTGATTAAAGAAACAAATGCCCTTTCCGGCTGTAAAACAGGAGTCCTTTGAGCGAGCTGTCTAGACAAGGAAAATATTTGGTGCTTGGACCTTCCGTGTAATTTCCCATACCCTGAAAGACCCAGTCATGTTCAGACTGTGTACTTTTTAAAAACAAAACCATCTTCTGTGGCTGTATTATGTACTAAATTAGGAGGCTTGCTGCAATCACAAGGTTTGTTTCTGCAGCTTTTTAGTCAATGACCTTAGTTTACCTTTGGAGAACCAGCTGCGTGATCCATGTCCCTATCTGTTTCCTTTAACATTTAGGTATTAAGTAAGAGAAATACTGTAATTTAGGTAATTCTAAAATGCCCCATTGTAGTTTCTTCTGTCTAGGCTTTTAACAGAGTAACTATCCTGTGGCTCAGGAACTGTTGTTATTAAACTATAGTTGGCCATCGAACATACAAACACCACACTATTGTCTGTTGTCTTAAATTCCTGGCTGTCAATCCACCATGGTGTACTCATTCTTAATTCCTTTTCTGGAATTACAATCTTACCCCAAAAAAAGGGGGGTTCTGAATGAGAGAATTCAGATTTTTTGACAGATATGTGAAACTCTGATGATCACATGAGACTAAATATTAAAATAAGATGCATTATGCAGGTATAGTGCACCAGGAGCGAGAGAGAGGGACCGCAAAAACACAACTGTAAAGAATTTGTATCTTCTTCCTCCCAGTAACTCCATATGCATCTTTTTATAATTCTGTCATTATGGTGGCTGGAAAAGGCTATGAAAGGTCGTACTTGACCTTTCACCTCTGGCAGTGTCTTTAATACAGGTATGTTGTTCTGCATACTCTTGTGGCTGAATTAATTCTACTAGGGAGGGTTTGTGGTAGATTTCAGTAAGTTCAGTATACAGAAACCACCAAAATTTTCATATTCAGTTCCTTGAGAGTAAGAATACTTGCTATTGCATTCTTTGCCAAATACAAATAACCCTTTCTAAGATAAATTCCTTCGATATTTTTTCCTTTGTTTAATAAATCAAGATATAGAGACCATTAAAGCCTTTATTGACAAAACCAACAAACCAAATGAATGATTCTGCCAGCTCCATCTGCAAGTGCTTTCTTTATAATTATCCGTTATACTCATATATGTCTCCTCGATTGCACTGCATGTAGCCCATACAGTTTTTGCATGAATTTTGTGTTTGAGCTGAAGGTTGTTAACCAGAGGATCGGTTCAGTAGGAGCAGAGGTGAGTTTTCCATCCCTTAAACATCCTAAAGTGAAATTAGATGCCTTTCTGAAAAAGATGTTAAAATTCCACAGTTTACTCCATTGGTACAGAAATGGCCAGAGACAGCATTTTAACCTATTTCAGAGGGTGTGGATAGTCTCTACTGGCCTGAGAAATCTATAGGTGATTCTCAGCCTGTTCAAACCCCAACCACTGGTTTTCAAGACCCCAAAAAAGCGTCTCCCTGAGGCAGGCAGAAGCACATGTGGATGAATTTGAGCACTTGGGGAGCAAGAGCACAACAGGTAACCGGTGTGGATGGCCATGATGTGCTGGTCACATTTGGATAGCTTGGGGAGCCGTGACCACCTGGTTCACAGACTAAGAATTCTCTTTCAGCTAAGCATAAGGCACAATTTAAAAATGTCCTCGCTGGGTGAGCGCTGTCAGGAGGAGACGAGGTGCATCTTTGCTGACTTGTCCAGGCCTTTGTTTGACACGGCTGTGAAGAGCCGGAGGAGCACCTTGAGCCCTGCTCTCTCCCTTCAGAAAGTCACCAAGCAGCAGTGCTGCTCACCTGGTCCAAGAAGCCCGGTCTCTGTCCCACCAGCTCTTCAGTTCAGTGCGTGCCTGAGGCCTTCACTGGAGGTAGAATGACAGTGGGCTCCATCACATGAAGGTTTACTCTAATGTGCAGAATTAATGGTAGTAGCTAGTACACAGGTAAATCAAAAGTGAATAACTTTATTCCCTATTTAAAGTGTAATTACCCCTGAGGCACAGCCAGAAGGTAATTCCAAGTGGACAGCAACCATACTTAACAGTTGTAATGGCTTTTGGGAAAGAAATGGAGCAATAATTTCTCTGCTTCAAACTGCAGAGGAAATTGAGAAGGCAGAAGGTATTAATCCTATTATCCTTGCAGGTTCTCAGTGTCAGTTAATGTTCCTCCTCCTGAAAACCACACTGCAACATCTTTAATGACCACAGAACGGTCAGGGCCTGGGGTTTAGTTCTTACTTTGAGTGAAGATAAAACAAATACATTCTTGTAATACAAAAATAAACCACGTTCTGCCACAGTCAGCTCTGCTTTGTTACAGTTTGATGGGCAGCTGAGTCAAAGAACAGACTGACTCATGCAGGTGACTCTTACTTGCAAGGCCAGCAAACCACAAACGGGAACTACCACTGACAGGGCCGGTACGGAGCGCCTGCGGGCACTGTGATCACTGCCTACCTGAGCAGGAGCGTTCATCCGTGTGAACTGGCGGGAGTAAAGCCACAAGGGTCAGTCCACAGGTATTTACCACTTACACGTAGGCCACGAAATTCTCTTCCGTGCTGAGAACCCAAACGAGATCTGTGCAGCACTTCTGCACCGTGGATGCAGCCGTACCCTTGGGCTTTTCTTGTTGGCACGGCGGGTTCAGTTTCCCACGTGTTGTTGACTGTACAGTGCGACACAGGCAGAATGGGCAAGTCAGTCAGAGATGATTGTACTTAAACTATGTCTAACTCTGTGGTATGTAGCATCACGCCGTGATTGGCAGGTTTGGTGGAACAGATGGGAGACAGTTGACCAAAACAGTTGTCTGACGTATTTCCTGCGGAGTTTAACTGAAACAATTTCTTAAATTGTACGTGTGCTTACATTAAACTTTTGCGTCTTGTCCTCTGGCTTTTCCTTCCCGATGCACAGAGGGACATGGCCGCGTCTGTTGGCAAAACAGGTCCGTCTGCTGTTTTTCTGTTGTGCCTTCGACTGTCCCACAGCCTGACGTTGAGATTCTTCCTTGCAGATGTTGACGAATGTGCGAACGGCACCATGTGTGGCAGTCACGGGTTCTGTGAAAATATGGATGGCTCCTACCGCTGCCTCTGCTACCAGGGGTATCAGGACCCGCAGGACGGGCAGGGGTGCACGGGTGAGTCCTCAGGTGGAAGCAGCGATTCCTGCAAGGTCCTAGGGAGCAAGAAGCGACTTACTAGCAAAGTAAGGTTGAGCTGTGCCTCACTCCCTGAACTTTGTGCCAGATGGAAACTTAACTGCGTGTCCATTTAATGAGAACCTGTTACTGGGATTGAATGGAAACCAACAGTGAGTAGGCTGAGCCACTCATTTTCTCTCTTTACAAAAACCCAAGAAACCCCACTATTTCTGCACATCAGGACCATTCGCGAATATAAATCATAACAGATTGAATTTAATACTTGAGCCTGCTTAAATGCACATCTGTTTAGTCTCTCAGCTGAACAAGCAGAAGGCTGGACTACCCCCTACGGGAAATAACGTCTGGCACGTGGTGCAGCCGGCGTGAAGGAGGTGGCACACCTCCCTGGGCACATCCTACTTGCACAGATTTGAACGTTGTTTTCGAGCTCCAGGGCAGACACCTGTCGCCACGGAAAGACGTGAGATCCTGCAGACGTGTCAATGCTGTGCGTTCCTCTGGGGCGCAGCGGGTGTCCAGCTCTGTCGTTAACAGCGACGGTCGGACCCGAGAACCGTCTGCGGCAGCACGAGCTTCGAAGACAAAATTAATACCAGATCAAGGAACGGTATTCATTAAGCAACTTCTTCAAGCCAGACTCAGGATGAAACACATTTACCAGGAACAGAGACCTAAACGGAATACCAGAGAGGAGGAAATAGAAGTTTTACAGAAGTGTTTGTATAGTGTTTTCTAATATATTAAATATAGTTTTATTACCAAATTCTTTATGCCATTTGGCACTTAGTTTGCCACAGACCAATGTATGTTTTTGCATACAGTGACTTTTAGTGGATGAAAACAAAAGAAGCAAAGGGGGAAAAAAAAGGTGTGAAACTAAATTTAATTCTGAGTTGCCAGTGAAGTGATTCTGCACCATAAAATGATGTCTTAGGTTTTTTTCTTGTATACACTACATAATACAAAATACTCATATAAATTTTGATGCCAGTTATCTACCAAAACCATTTTAGGAAGAGGTGAGTCTCTTTAGTTCCTGGCCAGGCAACGTTCCCCAAAGAAGACTTATTCCCTATGACAAGAATCCAGCAAAAAGATAAAGAAAATCACAAGTACATTTTAGAAGTGCTGAGCAAACCATAAGTTAAAATGCATATTTAAATATAGAAATACACAAAAGTCATCATTCAGTCATATGACTAGATTTTCATTCTTGCTGGATAGAGGTAAAAAAGATAAAGCATTCCTTCACAAGTTATACTTTAGACCACACTCAATCACAGAAATTGCTGAATTGTGATACACAAATTACACTTTTCAGATTCTGTCATTAGCAGACAAAGTAGATTTTCAAACGTAAATTTTAGCAACTGGAAAGAAAGTAAAGTTAAGTGAGGCTGACGGTGTTTGGTAACCCTTGTTTAAACAGCAGACAACTCTCCCATCAATCGCAAAAGCATTTTGGGGTAGACTAGTTAGCGGGTAGATGGACTCCGAGTTAAAAATAGGTGGGGTTTTGGGGGAGAGGCA